AGTGATTTTTCAAAACGGCTTTTTGCATTAAAAAGAGGATACTTTAATTAATAATTGGTGATATTTCCACAAGGATCCTACAAGAAATTAATTTTACAGCGAATTTTGAAAATTATCGATGAAAATTGCCACATCGAAAATTTTATCAAGTTAAGTTATTAATTAAGTAATTAAGTTTTTAATATCCGGCTAAAGCCACTACTCTAGATAGATATCGTATTGATATAAAAGTACTCCTATATAACTGGACCAATCCTGGATGAAACTTTTAATAATTAACACGCAATTTATAGCCCATTTTGAACAATTTTCATATCTAACGTTTTTCTCTATAGGCTTTAGTTTGTGAATTACGTTACATTTCTACCATGAAAATCATTCATATTAATATCTCGGGTATATTATTACTAGAAAGTAGTGATAGGTGGACTGAAACTACCGATAAATAATTTTTTTTTTTAGATTTTTTAGATTTTATATTTCTTTAAAAATATTAAACAATACATCGTAAACGATGATTACTCGTAAGAAAAACAAATAAAATTTAAAATATGTATTCACAATTTTATTCGCGGTTTTAATTTTAAATCAATCGACGCAATCCTTGTAAATTCAAATTAAACATCTAAAATCGAATTGGCTAAATTACATTTCATATTGATGTCTATACAGTGTGAAACGTCAGTAATGTAAGAAAAGTTAAACAAAATTAATTCTAAAATATGTTTATGTTTTAGCATTTGATTTCGTTTATCATGAAAGCTCCAAGTTCTCAAGTGGCAACATCAAAATCTTTTGGTTTTATGGAATATTTTGAACGAAAAACCTCCGCATATTTAAATAAATCAAGAAAAACAGTAATAATACGTACGATTTTTACAATTTTACTGTTCGCTTTGCTTTATTTAACGTTAACAATGGGAATTGTGATGATGTTAATAATGACTTTAATGATACAAATTAAAGGTTTCTTCGAATTGATTGATATAGCTTATCAAATGTGTAAAATGCACGATTTACCATGGTTTAGATCACTAAGTTGGTACTTTTTAATCGCGGCGAATTATTATTTCTATGGCGAAAATATCATGGAACATTTTTATGTATTTATAGAAGACATTCCGTCGGTAAAATTTTTGATTTTATACCATCGATTTATTTGTTTTATCATTTATATATTCGGATTTATCGCTTTTATATTAACGTTAAAAAAGAAGCATGGCAAAAAGCAGTTTGCTTTGTTAGCTTGGACTCATGTAGCTTTATTGGTGATTGTAACATCTTCATATACAGCTATGAGGAATTGTTTTCATGGTTTAATTTGGTGCGTACACGGTTTGGTTATTATGGCTTTTAATGATATTTTTGCGTACATATGTGGAAAATTGTTGGGGAAAACTCCTTTAATTAAAGTTTCACCGAAAAAAACTTGGGAAGGATTTATTGGTGGAGCGGTATTTTCAATATTTCTTAGCTTTTTAATCGCCAGCTTTTTATGTCAATACGATTATTTAGTATGCCCGATTGAATATCGAAAAATTAAAGAAACTATTACATTAATAAACACGTGCGAAAGAAGTTATATGTTTAAATTAAAAGATTATTCGTTTGAATTGGAATTTTTAAATATTTCTTTAAAAACGACGATAAGAGTTTATCCCTTTGTTTTGCACGCGTTTTGGTTTGCGCTTTTTGGAAGTATTATTGCACCGTTTGGAGGATTTTTCGCTTCTGGATTTAAAAGAGCGTTTAATGTAAAGGATTTTGGTTGTGCCATACCCGGGCATGGAGGGATTTTGGATAGATTTGACTGCCAAATATTTATGACGAATTTTATTAATGTTTATATAGCAACTTTTGTAAAAACGTCTACTGTGGAAGCATTATTTAAGAAAATTTTAAAATTAAAGTCGGATGATCAACTCGAATTCTTTTGGATACTTCAAGAGCAATTACTAAAACACGGTATTAACTTTAAAGAAATTAATGATTAATTCTTCTTTAAGTAGCTTTATTAAATTAATTTAAATTATTGTTGTTACTTTGTAAGATTCTATGAGTCATTAAATGTTGATGTAACAATTTAGGTTGTTGAATAAAAAAAGTATTTCTATATACAACAGATTTTGTGGATCTTTGTGGAGGTAGGGGGCGGACCTTTCATAATTTGTATAATTTTATTTATAAAATTTATTAGGGGCTTAGTGTCCGAAGCGGCGGCCTCTGGCGGCGACCGGGTTATTAGGCGTCTATTAAAATTATCGGGACAAACGGTACGCCTATGAGCGAGATAATGAAGGTATTTCGGGGTTCCCGATGATTCTCTCCACGGCCGCCGAGGTGTTCGAGGGCGGCACCGGAGCATCTGGAATTCGGACCTCACACGGAGGCTGCTAAATTAACTTTTTCGAACGTCGGAGGCCCCCGGGGCAACAACACGGCCCCCGACGTTTCTCTACCGTTCCGCCTCTTTCCTCTTCTTCTTTTAAACTTCCATGATATAAAAATTATCATTTATCGGAAACTCCAAAAATTTATTTGTTCTACAAGATTTTCATATGTATCATATTCATTTGCTCCCTCTTCTTCATCAGACTCCATCATTTATTGTAGAATTTTGATGGATTTGGTACTCGAAGGCACAAATATGAATAACGATAGTTTCTGAGACTACAAAATTGTATTTAATGATCTCCAAGATGAATTGCATCCGACAGTGGATGTTCTCAACGTAAAGAAGAGTCCCAAAGAAGTGACCTCTAGATTTTCTTATGTGGAAATATAATCATCTTCCTACCACAAATACTCCTTTAAACGCAATCAAGAATTATCAGCTACAGATTACCATTAATAATAATAATAATAAATAAATTTATTGCCATAATAAGAAACAAAAAATACAAATTAAAGAAAATGTATACATTTAACTTAATACATAAATACGGGCAAAAGGGTCGATTTATCGCGTAAGCGATATCTTCCAAACAACCCAATCAATCAGCAGTATACTAAGTTATATAGAAAAACAATAAATGAACGGCAAGCTGCTATGCTAAACTTATGGTCACCAAAAACGGTGCATAATGATAGTTGCTGGAATAAAAGAAGAAGAGAAGAGAAGAAAAGTAGAAGAAGAGAAGAAAAGGGAGAAGAAAAAGTTTTCAGGAAGATACTTGAAGAGCCAATAAATGACGTTTTAGGTGGTTTTTAAATGTTACAAGGTGAGGAATATTACGGATCTCAGTAGGCAGACTATTCCAAAGGGTTACTGCCTGCACAGCAAACGATTTATGGTAAATCTCGGTACTATGGGTCGGGAACATAAGCACAGAATCTAACTGAGATCTAGTGGGTAAACCATGTGACGACAAGCGTTGAAATATACAATACAAATACATTGGGGTTTGATTGTGAAGAACAGTATATAACATAGTTAATATACGAAACGATCTACGGTTCTGACAGCTTAATATCTGCAAATAATTACGGTATGGGGTTATGTGTTGAGATCTCTCGAGATCAAAGATATACCGTATGCAGTTGTTTTGAAGTCTTTGCAGTTTGTTTCGTAGTGTTACCGAAAGATCAGGATATGCCGTGTCAGCATAATCAATATGGGGGAAAATCAGGGAAAAACAAAGATTACGACGGATCATGGGAGGAAGGAAGCAACGGAGACTTTTCAGTGAGTGGAAACAATGATAGACCTTTCTGCAGACGGATTGAATTTGAGGTTTCCAGGACATTGTAGAATCCATAACCACCCCAAGGTTTCTAACCGTGTCTGACAGCTGAATAATGTCTCCGTCAAGCATTAAGTGAATGGATGAAAAATTATTCAGCTTTGCCAGTAAAGGTCGACTGCCAAACGCAATTGCTTGAGTTTTAGCAGTATTTAATTTAAGGCCATAACGTTTGGACCAATCCAAAATATTGGAAAGGTCATGATTAAGACGTGCAATTGCTTCCGGAAAATCATCAATAGTTGTCGTAGTGTAAATTTGGAGGTCATCAGCATACACATGATAATTACAAGAAATACAGTGGGTGACGGCATTAATAAAAATCGAAAAGAGCAACGGACCCAACACACTACCCTGGGATACACCACATTTAATATCGTACTTTGCTCAATA